AATAAATAAATAAAATCTTTAAAAAAAAAAAAAAAGACAGTTAAATCAGTCATTGGTCAGGGTTCACTTTACTTAGCAGCTGGCTTTTCCTGTATGTTTGGGGAACGTGCCTGGCTCCGTTCCAGAGAGGGTGCTCTGCCAAATTGTATTTCCATCAGGGGAGGATGGCCCTTACAACTGTACAAACCAGGGAGTTAGTGCTCACTCAGGAGGGTTTCCTTAGATTGAACCTATGGTCTTGCTTGATCTGTTCAGCACAAGCAACGGCAGTTAGGGAAGCAGACGTGACAGTCTGACGGGCGGATGTGTTCCCGCCGGGCTGCGCGGCTCTGCGTGGGCCCTTCTCACAGCTGCTTCCGGAGCTACAGAACTTCCTTGCGTGAGGCCCTGGGCCGGCCTCCTTCCACCTGCACCTGCCTTTCGATGTGTCTGTCCCTGTGTTTCCCGCTCCTCCGTGCGGTCCGGCATGTGGGCCGTGGTCGGGTGCTGCCCGGGGCTGCCGTCCCCGGGACAGTCCGTATCTTCTCACGCTGAGACATATGCTGTTTGAAAACCAGCAACAAAAACGGCCCGTGTTTTGAGCTAATTTTTTGGGCATATTTGTGGTGATTTTCCTGAGGGCACGAGGTCGCGAACGCCACAGTAGAGAGGCCATGGCCCCGAGAGGCTCTGTGAGAACCCGACCATGCCCTGTGCCTACCGTACCTACTACGACGGGGTCACAGCCAGCCACACGGGCAGCGCCAATTTCTAGCGTCCACAGTTACGGCACAGAAAGAAAGAGGGGAGACTGTTGAACCCAATCAGGTGGTGCATCGTTAACAAGTAATCAGTATAAAGACTAATAATTTTTGCCTGAAAAAAATTATTATGGAGATATTTTGCATTTTTTGGGTGCTCAATTTTGAAGGTGCATCTCAATTCAGACCAGCCACGTGCTCAGGAGCCATGCGTGGCCCGTGGCCCCATGGTGAGCGGCACAAGCCTGAGTGCTTGACTGCGGGGGTCCGGGACGCGGCAAGGGTGAATCCCCACGCTCTCCAGAGCCCCGACCTTATCGGGCTGGGTTGGTCTTAGCAAACTAGTGCAGGGGCTGGACTCACATTCGGGAGCGCGAGCAGAGCCCCGCAGTCGGCAGATCCCTTGGCCGGTGTGTGTTGCAAACAGAAGACATACAAATACAGCTCCTGAGTTCTAGCAGCTTCTCCTGTCGTTGGGGGGGGCTGCCACACTCGGGGTGCATAGGAGCAGTGTCGGGGAGCGTAACAGGAGGTCCACGCAGGACGTCCCACTGGTGCTGCTTGAGGTCCGGGCAGGGGACCTCCAGGGCTGCCAGCCACTCTCCCACCTGGAAAGTCAGAAAAAGCCTCAGTGACAAGTTCCCTGCTGGCTGATGTCCTCTGCCTCTTAGAGCAGAGTTGCTGACAGACGGGTGGCGAGGAGGGCTACACTTCAGGAACCCAGGTGAGGGCCCGGGGGTTTTGTGTCCATCCAGCTTCTTGGTGGCGTGTGCATGGGAGTGTGGCCGGAGCAGGGCCCTCATGTGCCCCCATCACGTCAGGCACTTGGTGCTGCTGCAGCACAGAGGCCGAGGCCCAGACCCCGTGGGGACGCAGCTCCAGGGCAGCGCGTGCTGAGGGCCGTCTTGGCAACGGTCCCGGCCTGCTTGGTCACCCGACCACCCTGCGGTACCAGGGCAGGCCGTGCGCCTGGAGCGGGGGCCGGGCAGCCCCCGGGCCGAGCCAGCCCCGGCCCCCGCTCCAGGCACGTGCACGGTGTGTTAGCTGGGTGTGTTCTGAAGTTCCCAACGTCGTGTAGCCCTTTGTGGTGTGAGACCGGGTGTGGGTCAGGATGGTCTGGCGAGCCGTACTAGAAATAATTTGTTGAAAGTGTGTGAAGAAAAATGCTCTTTTTCCAGTGGCTGAGAATCATGCTGGGAACTCTGTCAGCAGACTCTCTTCCTCCTCTGAAAACGTCTGGCGCCATGCAGCTTCCAGGCAGGTTGGCAGCAGAGCCCAGAGATGCTAGAGGCTCACTAGCAGCCTTGCTCTCCTCCAGAGGTGGCGATTCTGTCCCTCTCCCTGTGGTGATCGGGCTGCAGACGGGCTGAACCCCAGCGGCCTGTTGTGCTGCCCACCCTTCGGCTTCCCTGGGCAGTATCTCTAGGTGTCTTCTTTTTTTTTTTTTTTTTAAGATCTGCTCTTAACTTTATTTC